TGGATGTCAGTTACGGTAGCTCCGTGATTATTAGGGACTCAGGCATTTTCTGCCTTGTTTCTCCACCATCCTCAGCAAGTTATATTCACTACATGGTCCACGTGGCTACTCAAGCTCCAGCCATCGCCTCTTCTTCCCTTTATTCCGGCTATCAGAATTAGGAAAGTTGCACAAAGGTGCATGTCCCTTCCTTTAAGGACACTTCTGGATGCTATGTATACTCTATCTAGTTCTACTTACTTCCCATTGACTAGAACGTAGTGATATAATCACTCTACAAGCAAGACTTGAAAGTTTATAGTCTTTTTCTGAGAAGCAAGTAATTGGAGTAGGGTTATGACTAAGAGGGGAAAAAAGGGAGAAACAGATTTGGGCAAGCAACCAGAAAACTTTTCTAGCATTGTGATCTTAAGCTGATGGCGGGTGTTGGTGGGCCATCTATCCAGGCTCTTAGGACAGAAGAAGTCTAGTGATGAGCCGTGGGCCGAAAGAGGGGACCAGGGTGGCAGGCAGCACAGGCGTAAGAGGAGGCAGTGCAGGGCAGAAGGGACCCTACTTTGAACGACCAGGTCTTCCCCTACCCATATCCCTTTTCAAACTACACGCAGCTACTTCTGGGGTGGAGAACACTGACTGAGCCAGGAGGAACCACCCTGAGCGTCAGCACACCCCACCCGTATTCCTCAGCCTACTCTGCTGATCCCGCAGCCTCGTCCAACTGCCACGAATGTTTCTAAACGCTCATTTCCCCTTCCCGTACCCACTCCCTCCCTCGGGAACTGCAACAGGGTGGTCCCTGTCCCCATAGAGCTTTGCCTAGCCCTCGTCTAGGCAAGGGATGTTGACGGTTTGGATCAGCTTGGACCTGGAAGCCAGCGGGCCTCTTCTGTGCCTGGCATCGTGTGATCCTCCAGGGCGACAATTGCACTTGATTAAATGCGAGCGTTGCAAACATTGGTCAGGATTGCGTAAGGGGAGGCTTAAGGCGGGTGCCCAGCGCGGAGTCCTTGGTTATCTCGCCCGCGCTGCAAGGCCAGCCCCCACCGTTCCTGCTCCGGTCTGCAGCCTAAGCGAAACAAAAGCAAAGCAGCCCATCGTGATTCTCACAGGATCCAGGGCGGTGGGCCATGGGTTAGGGGAGCCCTGGCTGCAGCCCGGACACCCAGGTGAGCGCAGGGATGGCAGCGAGTGGTGCAGGCTGCCGCCTAGTAGAGCTCTACGAGGGAGCCAGGAGGGGCAGCTGCGCCGCGACACCACAGGCGGTTGGCGGTACTGCAGCGCTCTACGCTTGCGGGCGGGGCCAGTGTCCTGGAGGCCTGGCGGGGGGTGGGGGGGGAGGGAGGCGGGTCTACTAGTTGCGCATGCCCAGTGCGCTCCTCAAAGCTCCCTGCCGGCGCCCATAGGTGGTGGGGCAAGGCAGGAGCCATCCGGAGAGGCAGGAAAGGACGCTGGGCAGCTGGAACCTGAGCCTCGGCTCGCCTTGCCTCAGGCGCTCTCTCCTACCTGGGCAACCTTCACGGAAGGTTCCTCCACTTGACTCCCTTTTGCTATTGAGAAAAGCGCCCCAGCAACTGGCGGACACTTGCCCTCACTCACACAGCCAATGCGCAATCGCATCAGGACTGGACCCGCAGCCCCCAGTCCCTGCTCCCCAGGATGGGCGAACTGAATTTTAGTCTCAGGCCTGTCTTACAGGAGCTCGGGACCCCAGGCAAAGAGGCACTTAGCCTCTCTCACAGGTCAGCACACTAAGGTCAGGACTGGAAATTTCTGACATGTTTTAAATAATAACAAAGCCACGTCCTTGGGAGTCCTATGTACGCTTTGTCTTGAAGTGCCCGAGATTGACGTGTCTTTGCCTCCCCTCCCCCCAGCGCTAGCCCCAAGCTCCTGACCCGCTGTTAGAGACCTGGCCCTTAGAAACCTGGTCCTTTTCCAAGGGACGTGAGCCAGGTCGTCTCTGGCTGAGTCTGTGAGTGGCTAGGATAAGCCACTGCCTTTCCTTCTCCTCAAACATGCCCCACCTGTGCCCATCCCAGGGCCTTTGCACATGCTCTTCCCTGCTTGTAAAGCTCTTTTCCATCTTCCGGTGGTGGTTCCTACTCATGACTTAGAGCTCATCTTCCAAGGCCCCTTCAGCGAGCCCTTCAGATCATCCTTTCTCTTGCTTTGTGCTACCACCCACACCACACTACCCAGTTTTATTTTCTCCTCCGCCTCTAGCACTCCCTAATTATATATTCCAGTAACTGTGCGAGCTCTCCAACCGCCAGCAAAATGAATGCTCCCAGAGGACAGAGCCTTCTCTCATTCTTCATCCTGTCCTCAGCCTCTGACCTGTGCCCGCAAGAAAATAAGCACTCAAATGTTTGTTGAATGAGTAACTGAGTGAACATCAGCTCCCAGCCCTTACACTCAATGACTGGCTTTGTTCACGTGTCTTTCCTCTTTTCTCCTGTATGTGAGGCCATCATATCTGGGAGCTTGTATCAGTTTCTTAGGGTGGCTATAACAAACCAATTTATTATTTTACAGTTCTAGAGGCTAGAAATCTAAAGTCAAGTTGCAGTAGGTCCTTGCTCCTTCCAAAACCTACAGGGAAGGTAACCTGGCTTGACTACTGCGGCTTCCAATCGCCCCAGGGGTTCCTGGCTTGTGGCAGTATCACTCCAATCTTGACCTCTGTCTTCACAAGGCCCCTTTCTCCCAGGTCTGGATGTTTTCACAGGGCATTCTCCTCCCTGAATCTGTTTCCTCTTTAAGGATGCCAATAATGGGATTAGGACCCCACCTAATGATCTCATCTAAAACTGTATCTGCAAAGACCCTATTTCCAAATAAGTGCACATTCTTGCTGTGATTTGCATCCCCATTCACTGGGGATTTAGGGCTCTAACATATCTTTTGAGGGGGATATAATTCAACTTGTAATAGAGGTAATCCATGGAATGCTAAAAACAGAGTTAGCCAAACTAAGCTGGAAAATGGGAAGACATGAAGGGCTGTCCTAAGCGCAGGAAAGGTCACTGATTGAATGTCCAGAAATGACATTTCTGGGTGAACCTTCCCTGCATCAAGACTTTGAGGGAACATTTTGACTTTAAGGGTTTCTAGTGGAGTGGTTTATAACCCAGCTTGGCCCTCTTGCAGCCTGTAAACATTTCATGTATCTGACCCGTCATGAACCATTTTATGTCACTAAATTTGGGCTCTTGGGGAATGTAAAAGAATAACAGCTATTGGGCACGTCTCATCTGCCAGGGACTGTGCCGAGCACTGAGCTGCTTTCCCTTGTTTAACATTGAGGACTCATTTGTGAGATTGGTCCTATTGTTCACTGAATTTCACATGAGAAATGAGGTTCAGACAGGTTAGGGAGCAGGCTCACAGCTTCTCACCCTGCTGGGATTTATAACTGGTTCTAGTTGCAAAGAAACTTCCAGGAAACTGACTTTCATCAGTTCTATTTAACTCAAGAGGGCAGAGCTCTCTGTCTTAGGCATGCGTGGCAGTTACAAGATAACATTTTAGGGGTGGGGGGAACACTAATACCCAGACTTGGGATTCTCCAATACTTAAAATTAACAGTTTCTCCTGATTTGGCTCCTTTTGCCACTAGAAATTTCCAGGCAGCAGCCAGGTTAAATTCTCAGTGCCCTCCCAAGCTCACCCGACGCTGGAGGGAGACTTTGAACTCTCTGCCCTATTCTTTCTGACATGATCTCTTTGTGTTTGAGAAGAGATCCACCAGCTGACCTGAGCCCCAGGAGACAGAGAACCAGGAAGCCCCCTTAGCAGCAATGAGGTCGATTTTCGCAGCATGGAGTTGGGGGGGAACCTGGTGTTGGTGAGCCATCTCTGGGTTGGCATTCTCTCCGCCCAGCTTTTGCTATTTCAGTCTGGGACATTTTTATCCCGGTGCTGACATTTCATCCTGTGGCTGACATTGTGTCCTGAATTCCATTTCTCCGTGATGAAGAATTGCCCCAGCCCTGCATCTTCTCCCTGCTTCTGGCGCGAGGGCCATGCACCCTGACCTCTGGCCTCCAACAGGAAGGTGTCAGAAGCCAGCCTTGCTCCTTCCGGAGCTTTGAAACAAACTTTCGGCTGTCATTCCTGGAGAAACTGTGCTTTCCGGTTGAAGCTGCTTTCCTGCTACTATCTGTCCTTACTAGGGAGCAATTTCATTTTATAGGGAGGCGCATCTGTGTCACTGATTATCGGGACTCTAGCAATATGGTCCCATTCTTTCATGAGAGGAGGGGTCTATTCTAATCACATCTTCCTTCGGGAAGGACAGGAGTGAGCGCATGCCGGGGTGGGGATGGAGGCAGTTTCCCAGAAATGGCGCTAGAGTCCAAAAAGGAAGGAAAAAACCGCTGGCACCTTCCGACTTGCCCACAGTCTTTGTCTTGTCTGACCCTCACAACTACCTCCGTAATAGATGAGGTTTCGGGCTTGAGATGCAGAGAGGTCAGGGGACTTCTTCGCCCAAGACTCGAGCCAGGACATAAAGGAGCTGGGATTCGAATTTGAGCCTTCTAGACCATCTCAAATCACTGTTGCTCTAAAGAGAGGAAGAATTGGGAGAATGAAGACCTGACTTCTTTTCTCTCGCCTTTACTCGCCGGCTGTTGGACTTAAAGCTCCACGAGGGCAGGGGACAAATGCACCCTCCGCTTGGACCCAGCATGGAACAGAGCGGGTGCCCACGAACATTCCGCTGGGCCGACACTGGGAGCGGAGTCAGCTCTGCTTTCGCAGGGAGGCTCCTGGAGCTTGCAGGCAGCAAGGCTAAGCAGGGACACGGCATGCAGTGAATGCGGGCGTGCTGGGTCCAGCTCTCAACCAGGGAACAGGGCGCTGGATCTTCGCCTTTGCACAGCGCTTAAAACCAGGCAGGGAGCAGCGCAGCAGTAGGGACCGCCGGGGGCGCCCGCTCCAGCCGAGCATCCCGCCGCACTGCGCACGCGCTGCGTGGATCGGGCTCCGCCCCCGAGTAGGGATCTACAGCGGACCGGACCTACCGCGGGTGTGGGGCGCGGCAGCGGCGCTGGCAGCAGCGGCCTATGGCCTGGTTATAGACGCCCCTCCCTGGACCCAGACCCGCCGGTGAGTAGCCGAGCAGGAAAGCCAGGGCTCCAGGTTCGAATGCGCGGGGCAGGTGGGGTCTGGGTGCGGAGGGGGGCCGCGGGGGCCCGCGCCAAGTGGGGGCGGGACGGGCGGTGCAGGCCGGCTGCTGCGTGCCCACCCAAGCCTCTGCGGCTTCCTGGCCAGGTGGTCCCCAGGGCAGGCTGGCTGCAAGCTTGGTACTGGGGGAGGAGGCCAATGGCAGGGGGGATTGGGTACAGGGGAGGGGAGGGGAGGGGAGGAGAAAGGGGAGGAGGGTAGGGGAGGAGGGTTGGGGGGACAGACGGAAGGACGGACAGACGGACCGGACGGTGCGGGGAGAGCACAGACCCAGGGGGGCTGGGTGGCGGTGGCGGTAGGGTGAGGGTCCGGCGTCCCCCGCCTGCCCATCCGCCTTTGTGCCACAGCGACCCGCAGGCTCTCCCCAAACGCGCCGGGTCGCGACCCTGGGTGGCTGCGGCGTCCGGGGCTGCGGTCGATGGTGTGGAGCCTCCGAGCTGGCCTCCGGTGCCGCCCCCTGTGTTTTAAATGATGCATCTCCTGGGAGGATTTCTACCGGTTGGCCGGAGCAGGAAGTGTCGTCAGGAGGCCATTTTTAAAGCCTCGGAGGTAAGCGCTGACGTGTTTTGATTTTCAGTAGTTAGAAGCAACCCCCGCGATCCCTCAAGGGGGGCTGACCGCCCCCAGAGACCACGGTGTATCCGCTTTGCACCCCGCCGGCCCTCCCACACCCGCGCTGTTAGATGTGGACTTGCTTCGGATAATGTGTACCATCGGTGTGAGTGTGCCAACAATAAACTTGAAAACCAGACTGCCATCGTCTTTCCTTGGGCGTTTGGGGCGTGTCCAGGGACTGGCTTGACCATGGAGGACCTGTGCACCTTTTTGCTGGGGAGGGGGAAGGGAGGATAAACAGAGAAGATCTGCCTAGTTCCACAGGCTGATGTTCTCTGTGGGACCTCCCCCATCCCAGCCTGCCCTTTTATCTTGTTGCCTTAGGGCTGTTGGGCAGTTTCGGGCCAGGGAAACAATGCGAAACAATGAACATTTCTAAACCAAAAGGGAAAAGCCAAAGGAGAGAATGAAAGAAAACGTTCAAGGTACTCATATATGTTGGGTATTTAATGTAGCCCCATTAAAATACCCCCTACTTTAAAAAAAAACTGCAATAATGAACAATTTAATCAACCTACCATTATAAAATGAGGCAGGGAGTGCCGAGCACTTTGCCCTGTTTAAAAATAGAAGTCTACATGGCTCAACTGAACTGTTGTGTTAGAACCCTTAAACATTGTCCCCTAAGTTTAGAATCAGAGTCACCTAGAATGAGACAGAACTCGCTCTCCAGGAGGCTGAAGGACTTTCCTACAGAAGAGCAGAGAGGCTGGGAGTGGTCATGTCTCGCTGAGTCACACATGCAAAGTTCAGCCCAGCCTGTGATGTGTGTACACACAACAGGAGACACTGGCTAGGGGCACTTGAAGCCCAGTAAACGTTGGTTTAGAAACCAGCATCGTACTGTGCCTTTTAAGAATGAAAGTAGAATGTTAGCCTTTTTAAATGGCATGATAGCGATGGGTATTATTTTTAATCTAGGGTGCATTTTTTTTAAATTATTTTTTATCTTGGACCTAAACATAGCCTTGAAAAGTAACGCTTCTGTCTGTACCCAGTTTTGTTATGCTGATGGCAGTCATTGCGAGTGCATTTTGAAAACAAAGGAGGGAGGGCATTATTTTATTTATAGGGCCTCCTCCCTGATGTGTTATGCTAAACCAATGTAGATTTCTTAAAATCTAGTAATAGCAATTAAAAAATAAAATCTTGTCCATTTGCTTGTAAGTAAGGGGATCTGGGCCAGTTTTTGTGCAAAAGGAAGAACAAAGAACATTTGTATTACTGTCTCGGCAAAGCAGACATTTCTTTCTTTCATTGACTCATTCATTCATTCAACCAGTATGTATTAAGTGCCTTCTATGGCCAAGCGCTATGCTGTTGACTGTGACAGGCAAGCTCCTTGCCAGCAAGGTTTTCCCAGTCTCAATTGTTCTCCAGCTGCCTGGCATAGATGGCATTTCCTTTGTTCACATATACGTACGCAGCCAACTGCAATTTGCAAGATTCCTTCTTAGAGTTGAAGGTGTCTAGAGATCATCTAATCCAGACATTGTCGTCATGGGGCTGTTGTCGGGTCGAGAGGCACCAGAATCACCTGGGAAGAATTTTAAACCACATGCCTGAGGCCACCCCAGGCAAAGGGTAGTCTGATTCATTGGGTCTTCAGAGTCCTGGGAAGCCCCTTCCCCCACCCCATTTTACCATTTTATGCTCCCTGTGTGACTTTGCCTGACACCCTGCTTGAGAAGCACTCTGGGGGCTCATCCCCTTTTTCCTGGAAGAAAAGTGCCTGGAGAAACCAAGGCTGCACAGGCCGGGGACTCCAGCCCTTGCATCTGGCTTCTGTTGCAGGGCTGTTGTGGCAGCGCTTGCTGACTGCCCCAGGGTTCTGGGTGTGGAAGCGGGGCCTGGACTGGAGGCTGCCTGGGCCGGGCGCCTGAGAAGACACGGAAGAGCCCCTTCGACCTGCTTCTGACTCCCATCTGTAGCACGACAGCTCCAGGCCAGAAGTCAGAACTGCCCGGCACGGTGGCGCCACAGAGGCTGTGACTTCAGTCCTCAGCCTCGCACAGTGATTAGCAGAAAACAAAGGATTTAGATTAGACACCAGCTGACCAACTCCATGACCTTAAGAAAGCCAGCTTCTCCAGATCTGTTTTCGTACAAGAAGCGGGCGATTGAAGATGTACTCGGAGGAGTATTGAGGTAATGTATTGACCTGCCTCTGTAGACACCCTTCTGCCTGCCTTGGGCCAAGGTTCCCTAAGATTGACAAACGCAGCCCACCGCTGGGCATCCGGATCGGATCGCAGGGGTAGCAGTTACTTTTCTCCACCTCCTGTTATGTTCCTTAAAGACAGCAGCCCCTGGCAGGTGTGGGAGTAAAACGGTCCTGCCGTGTGCTTGGTGTGTTCACCGCACGCCCACCGCTGTCGGGAATGTTGATGTTTCCAAGAATCTACAAAGTGGTCACGGTCATTACGCACTTTACAGAGAGCATCGGTGATGATATTTCCAAGGTCACAAGGCTCAGCAAGGGTAGGACCCGGAGTCCACTTGCCTAATCACCTCCTTACAGTGCAAGGCAGTGGCCTTGACCTGCCTCCAGGCACCCACAAGTGGGTTAGGCATTTAAAAAACTGCACGTGATCTTGACGTTCTTGCCCCTCCTGCACGCTCCTCCGCTCCCTTCATATCAGGTGGTTCTCAGCCTCGGCTGCACAGCAGAACCACACCGCGGGACCCAGGCGGCCTCCGTGTTCAAGCCTCCAGGTAATCCTGGCGCACAGTGGGGTGACCAGCCGTCCCAGGGACCTCTTAAAAAAATAAGTTTAACACCCTAGACATTGAAGAAGTGGGCACCCTGATGCCGGCAAGGTTAATAATCACTGGTTTTCTGGGAGGGATTTCTGCTGTGTTTGATTATGCTTTTTATTATACTTTGAATCCATTTCTTTCATGAAATTTTGGTTTTTCCTAAAGACAAGAAAAGGAAATACAAAAATATATCATCTTTAGAGACCTGAAGTTACTAGGTGTGTGTAATAACAGTATTTTGTAATACTGCTTGTAATACTACATTGTGTTTTAAGGGTTTTGTTTTTTTTTTTTAATGCCAACAAGAGTATACTTGCTTAACGTTTGTTTTTCCACACATAGAACTGTAAGTTTAACAACTCCAACGTTGGTCATATTCTTTCTTCTGAAAGGTTTTCTCAGACTTTTTTTTAAACTATATAATAACTTTCTTTGTTTTCTGAAGTAGTCTCAATAAATGTGCTCAACAGTGTCTGTCAAGTGGAACCCAAAGTAACTCCTCTATAGACGGGGGTGGGGGGAAGCTTCACCTCCAGCAGCAGACCTGCCACCCTGCGGTCATCCTTGATCTTGTCAGGCCCGTTTGTTAAGCTGAGAGTTTTCTGCTTCTCTGCTGATTAGTGGACTCTTCTGTGTTCCAAAGAGTCTTCCAAAAGTATGTTGACTTATTTCTTGACAAAACATGTACTGATTGCCAAGTGTAAGGTTACCTGCTCTTTGCCTGTTTACCTTTTCGTCACATCAGCCATGTAAATGAGGCATTTTTTTCCACTTTACAAATGAGAAACTTCAGACTCAGAAATTAACACATCTGGCATCACGCAGCTATGGAGTCAAAAACCTAGGTTTTGGACCTTGGTTTAGACCTCTCCCAAGGTCATCACTCTGTCCACGGGTACGCCTGCCACGCGGGCAGCGGAGGCAGCAGATCAGGGGCTCTCTGGGTCAGCCTCTTGCCCCGATCTGTACTCCAAGTGGATCTCTTGGTTCCAGAAGGAAAACGAGGATCCCAAGAGGATACATTTGTCTACAGCATTCAGAAATATTTGTCATTACAATGGTCACAAATGGCACTTAAGTCATTTTCAAGTGTGGGGTAGTTTTGCAAAATAACTTCATTGCTATTTTTCCTTCTTTAGATCCATTTACCATTCAGTTCCATTCTTTTTTGTAATGGTCTGAAAAGGTTTTTGCTGAGGCAGATTTCTTCCTGAATATCATCCCACTAGGGAAATAGTTCACATACCTAATGTTGGATTCCACATCCCCCTCCCCGCCCCTGCCGTCAGGTATTGCCTGTCTACATGCTTCCGGGCACTTTGGGGTAGGATGTTTTGTGAACAGTGGCCTAGCGAAGGCTGAGTGCACAAGAGGACCAGGTGCAGCTTTTGAGCCCCTCTGCCACCAGGCAGGGTGCTTTGCCTGCATTATCCAGCTTGCTTTTCCTAATTACCCCTGAAGTTTGAAGACATCAGAGCCTGTTTCCTTGCCGGGCAGTGAACAGAGAGAAATCACTTGCCTGGGGAACCAGCAAAGGGACAGGGTCAGAGTTTGGACTACAAACCGTCAACTCCGTTCCCCTTTGCTCTTCATGGGCGCGCACACAGCTGCAGCCCAGCCCCTGTGACGGAGGAGGCAGGGGTCACAATGAAAGGGAAGAGGTTCCTAAATTTGCTTCTCTGTCCAGAAAGGGTGCAGCTGGCCAACTCCTACTGTGTTTGGTGGGCATCCCTCAGAAACAGAAATGCCTGTGGTGATGCACATAAGGGGGGTGTGATGCTGTGGGCCAGCTGCTTTCCACGCGGACTTGTAGTGTGGAAACCCCTTCGTTTGCTGCAGGAACACTGCGCCGTTCACTGGGCTTGGGGAAGAAAAGGTAAATTGGCAACTGGCTTCTGTATAATAAGCCTAAGTTGTAGTTAGAGCGCCCTCTCCATGTCGTCGGGGCACCTGCCAGCCACTCCGCCGGGGAGGGGGGGCGGGGGCGGGGGGGGCGGGGGCGGCCCCAGAGGTAAATTCCCTGTTAGGTGGTACAACCAAGCAAACATAATTAAAATTACAAAATGAGATTCAGTATGTATTCTGGAGAGAGCAATCGCCAGGCAGCTACAAAGCCTGTTATTTAACCCCTTTGACTATTTTTGTGATTGGCATCATTCCTTCTATGTTTTTAATTAAGAAAATGGAAAATACTTTGAACAATCTATGGTGTGAGTAACTTAGATCTAAGCGCTTTTAGTCACATTGTTACAGCTGATCCTCAGGACGATCCCATGAGGTGTAGGTACTGTTACTGTCTTCGAGGAGGAATGGGACAGTTTGCCTCAGGTCCCCTAGACAGCGACGGGGCTGGGACTTAAAGCCCTGTAATCTAACTCCAGAATCTGTAGCTTCAAATGCTACTGTACTGATTTTCTTCTAGTTCTGTTGAACATTGGACATTTTCAGTATTGAGAAGTCAGGTGCTTCCTTTTTAATAAGAACTTACACATCCAGTCCCTTACGGTTTTCCAGCCCTCAATGTCACTGAACTGGTTTTCAAAGTCGGTATTTTTTTCCATATGTTCCCATAATAAATCTTTAAGAAACCGGGGCAGGTGAGCTCCAGGTCAAAGGGAAAAGCCACCAGCAGCAAATGCTGCACTCACCTTTTCCCAGAAAGACAAGACGGGAGGCAGTGCCTTTGTGACACGCCGTGGCAGTTTTCTGGCTGACATTGCAGGCGACTCTGCATTGAAAAGAGCTCACTGTGTGTGTGCTGTTCAAAAACAAGCAACTTACTATATGTGGCCATCTTTATGTGCCAAGTTAATAGTACTGAGTGTTTCCTGTGTTTTTGAGAACTTCCCTGCTTTATCTAAAAAGAATGTTTGTTTCCAGTCCTAGGAGGTTGCGTGCAGACGTTTTGCAACCGCGGTGTGAATTTGGACGGCTGGCGAACAGCGACGGTGATAGTCGTTTATTGGACGCCATCTCAGTGTCAGGTACACGCTTGCACAGCCTTTTATCTCCAGTGTGTCGTATGCTCCCTGGCCTTCAGCCCGCTGGGCAGTAATGTGCCAGGAAGGCCCGGCCGAGTGTACTGGAATGTGAACCAGACAGAGGAAGTCAGTGGAGGGACAAGGAGCCCGTTGCCCAGGTGTGCTGCTGCGGCCCTGGGCGGTCCGCGCGTGAGGACCAGCCTCAGAGTCGTCCACTTGGTCCGCTCACCTTTGACCTGGGGTGATACATCTGAGATCTCATCTCCCCTTGACTAGCCACACCCGTTGCAAAGGCCAAAGAGAATGTGTCGTCTTTGTTTTTTAAAGAAGGCTGACATCTTTTTCACCTGCACTAAAGGAAGTGATAAGGTAGGAAACGCGTTATTTTTAGAATGGCTCAGTAGCCAACAAGATGCTTTCTCCCAGGTAATCCAGCGTGGTCATGACCTAGGTGTCTGGCCTCCCCCATAAACGGTGTTTGCTGGTCACAGCCGCATGCTGCCTATTGGCCCTTGTCCCTGTGGACTTTTAATTCCCCGTCACTACTGAGATGGTTTTGCAGAAGCGCCCCCAAGGGGACTCTGCGTTCCTGGGGCTCTCCCGGGGGCTTGGTTCATTCTGTAGGGGGTCTCCTCCCTCGGGACATTCTGCACGCCTTGCTAATGTGCATGATCATATTGTCCAGTCGCCCACGGTGTTAGGTCTTCAGCTGGAGGAGGAATGGCACCCCAAGTCCTGAAAGGACCTGGAGGGGAAATGGCAGAACTGCCATCTGTGACGCTGGGAAACTTGGGGGCCAGGAACGGTGCCAAGAAGCTGGAAGTGCACAGGCGGCGCCCCGGTTGGTGTGAGGCTTCCAGCAGAGCACCTCGTGACATGATTTATTTACAGATTTCTTAGGGTTACATGTCAGGTGTTAGTTGGAAGAGTTGGGAAGCCAGCTATGTCAGGCAGGCCTGTTACTATGTTCTCCGCGCCCCCCCCCCCCACCTCTGAAACTGGTGGGATTACGAAGCTGGTCCATGAGAGATGTGCAGATCTTTGAACAAAATTGGGAACTGAGGACTGCGTGACAGAAGAGATGTACAGCTAACAGCCAGCCTGTCAGGAGGGATGAAGTTGTTTGCAGCTCCAGAGGCAGGATGTAAGAGTTACGGGGGTGCTGGTTTCATTTTCAGTGAAGGGTCAGTTCCCGGCCATGAGAGCTGCGATGATAAAATTGGCTGCCTGGAGAGGAAAGGAGTTCCATTTATGGTTGCGTGGTCAGCTGGTGAAGATGTTTGAAAGGACTCAGATGTTGCTGGAAGTTTCAACCAGTGACTTCCAATACTGACTCTCATCGGACTTCCATGGCATGCTTTTTCTAACCAGATGTCCCCTCCCTCCCACCCTCCCCGCCCCCGCCGCCCGAGGCTGACCTTCGCTGGCTGAAGGAGGGAGCCCAGGAATGGCTGTTTGCGCTGTGGTCCCGAGGCTTGGCCAGATTCGGGAACCCCTGGACCAGGTCCCCCCCTTTTAGCCCTTCCAGCCTCGGGCGCCTGTGGTTTCCGTAGGTTCTGGCGGCAGCCATAGCGCTCCCTGCGGGAATGGGATGACAGTGCCGACGGGAACTGGTGGCGTTGGTAGAATTCTTAGATAAGAGGTCTGTGATTTTAGCCATCAGCAATGTCAGACTGGGCTTACAAGTCGCCTGGACAGGCGTAGGCAGGCAGGCGGATGACACGGACAGCCCGCCTGGGGTGGAAGTCCAGCCGGCTCTGGCTCCCTCCACGCGGTCAGCTGACAGATCTGGAAGAATAAGCTGTGTCACCGTCTAGGTACTCCTCCGAAAGTTCTGCCTGTTGTATGTAATAGGTGTGCAGCAGAAAATGAAAGCCCTGGTCTTTGCCCATGCTCATCAGTTTTACGGTCGTACTCAGGCGTCTGTGTGAGCTTTGAGGGGAAAGGCAGCAGCTGGCACCCCTGGGCCGCTGTGCCCTTGATGCCCGTTGCATACACACTTAGGGTAGCGCTCTTCTGACGGAGTCCCTGGGCGCTGCCAGGGTTGGTGGCAAGCTGAGAACTGCTCCTGAGAGGAGATAACTGTCTTTTGCAAAAGCAACATAGGGAGGGATAACACTCCAAAAAGAAAATCAGGCTTTGCATCCAATGTGGTGTGTTCTTACGAAGTTTTCCAAAAATGCTTGTGAAGGGCAGGTTTTATGCTAGATCTGGACATGCCGCAGTTGTTTCTCTTGCCCCTGCAGAGGGACCTGCTCCCGCGGACCAGCCTGTCAGACTTTTTTGTGGCTCCCGGCCTGTCACTGTGCCCACAGGAAGCGGCTGCCCCCCCCACGGGGCCGCCCGCCACAGAGCCGACTCTGCGTGCCTCAGAGGGCCTCCCTGCACTTAGACGAGCCCGTAAAACTTCAGAGGTGTCTCTGTGTGCTCCGTGCTGTGGGAGAGGTTGGACAACTATCCTTAGTTCTAGTTGCCAGATGAAAAAAAAATCAAAGCTTAAAAGGTTTAAGTGGATTTTTAAGGTCATAGAAAAAGGCTTTGAACAGATCCCAAACTTCACTGGTTTGTGCCTAGTCCTAGTTGTGAATTCTGGAGAAAGAAAGTGTATTTAATGATAATTAGCTGTTGTATTTTGCCATGTATAATGAGTACCCATGTTTTTGTCCACGTTATACATGGGATTATTATACACATGGTATGTAATCATTATACCCACGTATAATGCACATCCTTATTTTTCCCCTCAAACTTGGGCAAAAATGCACATTAGGCAAAAGATGGTATTTTTGTAAGAAGTAGTCACTGTCACACACACTGTGACACTTGCTGTAGAAGCGGCTATGCCTCCACGGCCGCAGTGTGGACCGCCTTCGCGTCCCAGCAAGTCTCCCTGTCATCATTTCTCCCACAGCCACTGGAGGTTGGCACTAGAGTCACCGCCCAGATCGAGTGACATCGCTGCTGCTGCCTCTTCTTGGTTCTTTCTCACGGAGAGGAAAGGCTGCGTCCTAGGACCCTGTGCTGTGGACCCTGCCTTGGCCGGCCTCCCGTGCCCCCGCCTCTCTGCCGTCCTTTCCTCCCTCCCCCTCCTGGCTCCTTCCTGTCCCTCTAGTGCTCCAGGGCCACATTCCACAGACCTTTGCCTCTCTGCCTGAAGTGCCTTCCCCCAAACAGCCGCATGCTCACTCCCTGGCTGCCCCGGGGCCTCTGCTCAGAGGTCAGCCTATGGGGAGGCCTTTGCTGACTCTCACCTCCACGCCCACGGCCTACAGCTTTATCACATTGTTACTCCCTGTGCCCCTGCCGTCCTTTACGGTATTTTGTTCCCAATTACTGTCTGACAAATCGATAGCCAGCATCTCCATAGATCCCTCATGAGAGTAGGGACTGATTTGCTTTGCTCATTTCCCTGCATACTTAGAACAGTGCCTGGCACAGGATAGAGGGTCAGTGGGAGGTTGGGGGGGTGGATATGTGGCTCCCCAGCACTGACAGTATTGACTTACCACTTGTGACAGCAAATGGAGTGTATGCGTGAGACTGGGAATCCCAGCTGGTCATTAGCTGTAATGTAGAAACAACTGGACACCTGATCCGAAGCCATGGCTGCACTGCTTGGTAACTCGCATGTGTAAGAACTGAAATGACAACAGACTGCCCTAGCTACGTGAATGTGAAAGTATACCTGTGACCCTGTTAGGATGCACTCAGTGACATTTAAAAATAACTGTCCCTTACAGAGACTATTTGAACGATGGCTGTGATTTCCTTACTCCTTGTTTATGTTCAAGGCTGGCCTAAATTGATGAGTTTGAAACCAGTTTCAGTTTATGTTTCTTATTTGCCAGCTCGTTTGTGTTGTGTATTATCAACATGTGTCTAAGATAATAAGTATGTCAAGATTTAGCATAAATCCAAGGTCATTGAAATACTGGGTAAGTTTGGAAATAGCTCAGCCAACCCTTCTGTTCATATGTTCATCACGCTCTCTGATTTCTTTTTTCCCCCTTTAGCGTGGCCTGGAATAGCAGAGAATCGGAAAAGCCATGTTTCAGGACCGCGCGCCTGTGTGGTGGTATTCGGGAAAAGCTAACTAAGCATGCTCCCAGGAGGTAACTGCATGGCTGCCAACCGCCATTTGTTGAAGGCTGCCTCTGAAGGACTCTATCATGCCAAGTCTTTCTGGATCCCAGTGGACTCTGTTAAGAAATGCAAATAAAGAAGATGAAGGATATTGGACAGCAGTTGTTCAGCGCACAAGTGAATGATGGACACAGTTCTTTGACCATGTCGCCCAGACAACCTAACACTAATAGAGCCACTCGGCCAGACAGACAAGAAGCCCAGACGCCTTTGTACCAGGGCTCAGAGGCGGAGGCCGCCCTGGTGACCACCGCCACGTGTGTCAAGTGCAAAAGTGTTCACCATATCTCCCCTCAGGATTTGAGGAAGGGGCCCGGGCAAAGCAAGGAAGACAGATACGTGTGCTTCCAGTGCAGCCTTGGGGTGGCTTCTCCCCACCTGCCTTTCGGGAACAGTAATCCCAGTGCTGCTCACATCGGAAATAAAGCCGAAACTATCACAAGCCCCAGCAATAACAAGTTTAAGGTAAGGAACTTTAAACCAGGCAAGTACTATTGTGATAAATGTCGCTTTTCCACGAAGGACCCTCTGCAGTACAGGAAGCACACGCTTCAACACGAGGAGATCAAGTTCATTTGCTCTCACTGCAGCCACATTTCCTACACGAAGGGGGAGTTTCAGAGGCACTTGGTGAAACACACGGGCATATTCCCTTACCGATGTGAGTACTGTGACTATGGTGCTATTAGAAATGATTACATCGTCAAACACAGGAAGAGAGTTCACGAGAAGGCTGGTGGAAAACGGCTGCCCAAAGTTGTCACCAAGCTGGAACCGAAAAGGACCAGCATGTCAAGACAAAATGCAGAGCTTTTAAAAGCCTCCGATCCCGGCTCCGCACTGCAGAGCAAGTTGTCAGATCAGCTTTCAAGGTTCTCCCTCCAGACAAACAAAGACAAAATGCACAACATCACGTTGGTACCTGAATTGAAGGAATACCAAAAGGACGTGGTGTGTGTTCCAAATAAAGGGACCCTATCAGAGCCAAATGAAGTCGGTGTGTTCGAGAACAAAAGTGTGGAGGTGGAAGTGTTATCCCCAGCCACAGAGCCCGTTCAGCCCGGAATGCCATTGACCGTGGTGGCACCAGCAGAACTCGTTGTCCCTGCAAACTGTTTAGCCCAGCTGATGGATGTGAAGGTTGTCAATGGAACACAGCAGCTTGTTCTGAAACTATTTCCTCTGGAAGAAAATAATTGCCTAGAAGCTGGTGGGGGTGATGGAGGTCATTCTGGACGTAAGACTAAAGAGAAGGGCTCAAATGAACAAGAAAAAATGGTTTCTGCCGAACAAACCAAGGCTCTAACGATTGAAGGGAATGTTGGAGAAGTTGGAGGCCTTGATAACCTTCAGTCAGTTCAAAAACAAGTTAAAAACGTGAAATGGATACGGTCTTACGATATGTTCATGTCAAATTCCAGTGTGTACAGCTGTGCAGAATCCCTTCTCAACCCGGCTAGAGCTGAGGATTCGCAGAAAAGAAGTCATATTTATCCACACAGAACTGCCCTGCCTCCCGCTGCCCTGAAAGATCATTCTCCATTATCTATAGTGAAAAACAGTGTTTTACGTAGTCTTGGCACCGCATCCAATCCTTTTCCATATAAGGCTGCTGTTTCTTTTACGGAAGGCAGAAAACGTTTGCACAGTGACCCACAGCAGTGTTTTCCTCTTGCGGCGTCACCTACAACCATTTCTTTCTCTGGAGAAAAGGGCCGTTTGCCCATAAGTAAAAATGACTTGGAATCCAGAAGCGAGATCAGTATTCCTGTAAGAATGGTTCCGTCTACTAGGAAGCCAAAAGACAACCAGACAGAGGAATACAAAGCAGTTGCAAATACAGGCCAGATTTCCTCTCAACATAAAAGTGAGTATTTACACATAAACATAACGGGAGAAGATAGAACCAGATCTCAACAACCTGGGGATAAACCTTTGGCGTTAAAGAATTCTGAAAGGACTAATGACTCTTTCGATGGCCCCGTCATCTCATCAGTATTTTCTCTGAGCTCTGGATCTGAAGACGTCCCTGAGGGCGTTAAGTGGAATAGCTCAACTTCCAAAATAAAGTCAATTGAACTCTTGCGTAGAAAGATTGCTCAGTTAATTGAGTCCTGTGGCAAACCTTCATCTCTGGCTGCAAATAATGCACAGCGTCGTTCTGTAGGGCAGGCATCGAAGGTAACTTCGAAAGCTACCCCAAAAGAAATTAATGTGCCGTGTACTGGCAATGGCTATTCCACAGGTACTCTCTCAAAACCTCAGGATGATGTTGGTATTAGTGGACGGCAAATATATCCACCGTTTGTAGAAGGCAGCAATGGGAAAACCGAAAGCCGAGTAACCAGGAAGGCTCCTGTTGCTACTCCAGTGTTGATCCCCAAAGGGGCAGTGTTGAGGGTTCTTAATTCTTCCAAGGATGCCCACATCATAGAGGCTACATGTGAAGCACCTGTCAGCATCCCTTGCAGTGAGACACAGTTAATAAAACCCATTCCACTCCATCCAATGAAGCCGGTGGACTCAGACTTACAGGCTTCAACAAGTGAAAGTGGGCCAATAGACATGTCCCATAACCTTGACACATCCCTTCGGCCTAAACCAAGAAAAGAGAGTGCTGTTTATAGCGCTACCCTGAAAAAAACTGGCTCCCTGCACAGTCAGCAAGGAAGCAGTGAATTGAGTAAGCAAGGGAAAATGCTTTCCAGAAGTCTTCCTATAAATAAAAATAAAGCCAGGCATATAAATTCATCCAAGAAAAAAGGCAAAATTCAGGCTGATCCCAGCCGCTGTTTCAAGGATCCCTCGATTTTTCAGGTTGCAAGACAGCTTCGACTAATAGCGGCCAAACCAGACCAGTTGATTAAATGCCCCCGTCGGAACCAGCCTGTCATCGTGTTAAACCATCCTGATGTTGACTCTCCGGAAGTGACCAATGTGATGAAGGTAATAAACAAGTACAAAGGCAACGTCCTCAAAGTTGTCTTATCAGAGAGGACCAGGTGTCAGTTAGGCATCAGAAGGCATCATGTTCGGCTGACCTACCAGAACATGGAGGAAGCCAATCAAATAAAAAGGCAAATGATGTTGAAAATGAAACTTAAAAAAGTCCATAAAAACAACTACCAGGTGGTGGATTCCTTGCCTGATGACTCTCAGTGTACATTTAAGTGCTGGTTTTGTGGACGTCTGTATGAAGACCAGGAAGAGTGGATGAGTCACGGCCAACGGCATTTGATAGAAGCAACTAGAGATTGGGATATTCTTTATTCCAAGGGTAAATAAGTGAAAAATTGGTGTTTGAAGTAAATTGTTTTTCATTTAGTTTATTCTGGTTAGGTTTGGGTTTTGTTTTTTAACTCCCATCCTTGACTCAATAGGAGAAACACAGGTTGTAGGAATGCAAGCAAGCATCATTAGTTCTTCAGATCCCTTGTAGGAATGTTGAGAACCAGGAGTCTGGTTTTACCTAAATATGTGAGCGAAACTTGGAAGGTATTTGAAGCCTCTGAGAGTGTACGCACAAGTTTATGGACGTAATTTTGTTCTAGAGAAGGGAAACTTTCAGCAGATTCTCAGTGGGATCTGGGAATTTTGTTCAGCACCCCTTGTCCTGAGCAGATACAAAGCTCTTGTAATCCATTCAGGGGTGAGTTGAGAGTGTTTTACACATGCCCATATAACAAAATGCTACTGATGAGTTAAATCCATGTTTGGTGTGCGCACACACATACACACACACCCCCCCCCCCTTTTTTTTTGGCGCAATAGCTTGTCTTTTGAATATTTGGTACCTAATAGAAATTATATTTTCTACTCCAATTTGGTGACAGAAAAGTGGCCATTCTTTTGAATCCCTTGGCCTCTCTATGACCCGTATGTTCTTTATAACACAGATCTGTGCGTTTTCAAAAAATGTTTGAAAGAGTGATTGTAAGGATTTGCCTGAATTTGCTACTTCAACAGCTGGTGTTAGGGAAGAAAGAAAACATTTTCAAGCCTTTGGGTTCTTTTTAAGTACAGTATCTCAATTTGTGATGATTGGAGAAGGAATGTGCCTTTTAGTAAAATAGAAAAATTGTCAGAGGGAAAATACCTGAAAAGAAGTCTCCTGTTTGCCCTTACCCCTCTCACAAATTAACCAATTAAAAATGTGAACGAAGAGGCTTCTTACAATAGATTAAACCTGGGGAGGTAATGCAGGGCCGGAGCGTAGAGACCGTTGTGACTTCAGCCTGGCCGAGTTTTCCCTTGGAAACTCACCCACAGATGGGGGTGAAGACTGCACGCCGCCCATCGCTCCTGGCTCACGGACACTGCCCCCCGGGCTGTGCCACTTTTCTGAGCGGGCCCACCTGTGGAATAACTCCCCACTCACTTCCTGTCCCTTTCCTTTTGTGCCTTTGAGGCCCATAAAGATTTCCCTCGTGAAGATCCTGAAAACGGGCAGGAATCAACTAAATGGAAGCATCCCACCATCTTTGATAAGGTTATAGGAACACTATCCCAGCTTTTCACTGATAGTAACCACCCCCTTCTGATTGACCTTAGCCACAGTCACACTGTCCCCGTTGCTCACTTTTCCTGGGAAGCAACTCCAAGAACACTCCTGCTCCCCTCTCCTGCCCGATGTCTGGACGTTTGCCAGGCTGCACAGCACCTTAGCGTGCATTGGGAAACGCCCGCCCTCCGCACCATGGCGCCTCTCGGGCAGTCAGTCAGTTGGCAGGTGGGGCTCGGACTGCATCTTAGTCCTCCCTTGCCCACTCCACTGGGCTCCAACCACCCTGCAGGACGCCAGTGACCCAGCCACCAGGAGCTTGGCACTTGAGTGTTATTCGCTGTAGGCACTGCCTTAAGGGCTGTGCTGGTGTAGTGACCACAGCTGGGCGCTCTTATGTCTGAGTGAGATTTCTGTCGCGCCGGGGAGTGAGAGACTCGGTTTTTTCCCCCACGTGGGAAAGTCTTAGATTATCCTCTCATAGGTGGGATTGCAATTGTTCTTGGTCATCATTTCTCATTACAGGTAGTTAACATGTAATTCAGGACATGATCTTTGAGTTGATTAATTGGTTGATTTTTGTTGAAATTGAAACTTTGGATTTTTGTATGTGTATATATGTGTATGTACACATATTAATATTTTTTACCATATGAAAACTGTAGTAGCTAATTTTCTGATTTCCTATTTTATAATGAAATTAGATGAGTTAGAAAATATAAAATGTTTTGTATTCTAGAAATAATTTATTTTGGAAGTACCTTTTTATAATAGTCTGGTCTCACTTTTAGAAAATGAAAGCACAGTGAGTGTGGGTCTGATTTGTATGAACAAACGGGAGCGGACGCCCCGCGGACCCTTTCATGGCAGTATTTGGTCCCCACGCATTTCCAGTTGGTGCTTTTTGGGAAATGGAGCTTGCGGACGACTTCACTACATAAAGGAGGCCATTCTGAAGCTTTGTCCACGTGTGCACCTGCACCCCTCCGACATGAAAGGAGCCTCCTGCGGTAGGACGAGGAGGAGAAGAAAAGGCTGTGATTTGGAATTTTTTTTTTCCCTCCTATACCTCACTACTTAGCAGCATCTCTCCTGAAAGCGTTGACCGTGGCCCTTCAGGAGAGATGACCGCGACAGGTCAGAGTGCTCAGTGTCAACATAAAATATCCACACTTTGCAGCAACAAACTCTTCTTCAAGTATTACCTGAAACAGTCCATGTACTTGTACAGAGCTAACTTTTGTGGGTAGAATATGTAGCTAAGCTTCGGGGGATTTTCGGAATGACAGTACTTGTTAAGGAACTGAGAGGGCTCCTGGGAGTCATAAAAAGTGAGAAAAAGTGGCTGTCGGCCCTGGGCGACGGGCGTTAGGAAATAGCTTGTAACGTGTAGGTGAGTGTCAAGAAATGAGCCGTGTCATCATTTCTAACAAAGTTGGAGAAGGTAGCAGAACTGTGTTGAGTATTTGTGTGCTCTTTGTTGCAATGATTTTGAAGGACCTGTACTCCCTAAATTGTATTAATTGCACTTACTAATGAAAGTCATTTTACGCTTATTTTTTAAAGTAGATTTTCTTTTGGGGGAGCAGAAGTGAGATGCTCTTGTCATACTTAGGATATGACCAAGAGTGGAAGTTTTTTAAAAACTAAGGTTATACTTTACTCACATGTTTATCCCCAAGCCCCAAACGGTTTTGTGAAGCCCTATGACGAGCCAAGTGCTGTTGAACTAAACCGGACACAGTGTGTGAGCCCTCAGAAGCCCCACCTCTCTTGCTCTGGGACCTACTGTCGAGGCGCCCCAGAGAGCGAGCGCGAACTGCTGCTCGGCCTTTCAAATAATATTTGAATCTGTCAGTGTCAACATGAGCAAAAAAATAAAACATTTCATAACCTGTTCTAAGCGTTACTAGAGGTCCTGTGTTAACAGTTCGTGTGCCTGCTGCTCTGTTTTTGAAACACATTTATATATAGAAGTTGGAGTAAATTTTGTTAAATAAAGCAAACGTAAAATTGTCTCTGCCCTCTCATTTCTAATGTTAAGCAACTCAGCTGTTTATTGCACAGCCTGCCTCGTGCAGTGCGTTTCTAAACCGTGTAAAGCCCAGCCAGCGTCACCCGACACACAGGTACCCTGCCTCCCCGCTGCCGGTTAGCCCCGAGTGGAGGCCAGCTTCCTCTTCGGGCTCGCCTCGGCTGAGCCCTGCGAGGGGGCTGGTTTGGGCAGCAGTTGGCAGTTCTTGCACCGGGCTCGTGGCCTCGTCAGATAAGTCTGGGCACTTAACCTGGGTAGCTCTCCACCAACAGGGGCCTGCGTGGCACGGCCCGTGCCATGGAGGAGCCTGCTGGGCCACAACAGTGTGGTTGCACTGTGGACGCCACGTATCCAAATAGAACTGACCCTGCACGTATGTGGGAAGACAGGTGAGAGGTAGCTCAGAGAGGGGTCAACGCCCGCTTCTCATTCCCAGCACCTGAGGAGTCAAAAAGGGACATCTGAGTCAAAATGAGTCATTAACCCTACAGGTGGAGCCTAGTAAAAGTTGTCACCTGTGGTTGTTTAAGGGATGTAGCGATGGAGTAAGTCAAGAAAAGCACCAAGGAGGTTGTACCAGCCATGGGCCACCAGGGGGGCTACAGCGGGGGATGGTAGGGGACCGGGGCTGAAACTGAATGCAAGGCCATAAAGGTAGGAAGGGGTGGCCACTTGCCCACATTTCAGCACTAAGAAAACAGGTCAATGACCCTGACTGATGAGGTTTACGTGCGGCAGAGCTGCAGAGGCACCACGGCACCTCCTCGCGTCTGTAACGCTCCTCGTTTTGCAACATGCGGAGCGTTAAGGTTCCAGCCTGTGCCAGACAAGCTGGCCGGGATGCGATGCTGGGCTGAGGGGTGTGGACCGAGTCGGGAGCAGCGCCGTGCGGGAGGGGTGCAGCGCGAGCCCTGTGTGCGACCTCAGCCTTCCAGGGGCCACGCTTCAGAGTGAGAAGAGTGGGTGAAATCAAATGTACTTGACCCAATACACCCAAATTGCTATTTAAACATTTTCAGTCAACAAATTTGAAATATATGTACACACGTTGATAAAGTATTTTTACTAAAGTTCAGAAACAAGCAGGATGGCAGTAGCGGTAGGGGGAGGGGAAAGGGTAGAGGGATTGAGCAAGAAGGAAAAAAGGACTCGTGGACATGCACAGCAGTGTGGTGACTGCTGGGGGGAGGAGGGGTACAAGGGGGCTAAATGGTAAATGGGAAACAATACAATAAAGATGAAGTTCAGTTCTTCCGTCACCCTACCCTCATTTTCAAGTGTCTCCTGGCTACTGTGTGGGACAGCATATTACAAGGGAAACATGCTGTGTTGTGAATGTTGGCTTCCTGCCCGAGCTGCTCAGTGGTAAGAATCCTCGTTGGTTTGTGTGTCTCTAAGACTAGGGTAGGTGCAGCTCCACTACCTCCCCGGCTCCGGGCGGGCCAGTTCTGGGCCAGTGCCTGGCGGTTCTATTGCTAGGTCCACGCCTTACAGAGTTGTTACACCTGTGGCTGGTTGCGGTTAGTTATTTTGCAAGCCTAGTTGGCCAGCCAAGCCAATGACTATTTTTCATTCACACCAAATGTCCCCAGTCTGGCCGGGACACCTCTGAAAGGGGGGGTGGTCCTCCTCTTGTAGCTGAACCATCTGAACCACCCAGGCTTTGTCACCGTAGCAGGGAAAGAGCGAGGGGAGAGGTGGAGAAAGACACAGCGCTCCCGCTGACCACCACTGCCCGGCAGCAGCCACAGACTCCCAAAGGGGCCCTGCCGCCCCGTCTGCGTGTGCAGAAGACTAGGGCAGCGAAGCAGCCAGCGGTGATCTCCAACCCACGGGACCCTCCGCAGTGCTGGAGGGCTGTACAGCCGGCAGTCGCCTGTGTGCAAAGCGGCTGGCCAGCCTGGTGGTTAGGAAGTGACAGCCAGCCGAGCACTGGTGAAGACGCAGAGAAACAGGAACTTCAACGCACTGTGGGCCACATCGAAACTGGACGCAGCAGTGTATTGTTTCCGTTCTCATTCCCCTGGTTCCTGGCGAGGTGGTGTACTTCTGAGAGTGTTTATTGGATGTTGTCATTTTCTGTGTATGGCCTGCCGGTATTTTGTGCATTTTACTGTTAAACTATTTTAAACTTTTAAAAGAAAACACAGTCATTTTCAAAAACCCATTAGGAAAAAGGTTTTCCTTTAGGTTTGGGCCACAGAGATAGTCCCTATTGAAAATTAACGTCAATAGACTAGTGGACACCATAGTAAGTTACCGGCTTTGTCAGAAGCTGTCTCGAAAGGATCTGAGTCCAAATTTTTTAATGGAAAAATGCCTAAAGCAGATTAGATGCATACCCTCACGCAAGTCAGTCCCAGGTGCCTCGGTCGCGCAGCTGCCCTGACACCCGTGTTGGAGGGCCTGCGCTTTGCTCTCTGGCTCCAGGCTGGCCTGGGTTTACGGCGGAGTCTCTGTGCTGCTGCGTTAAGCTAGTTATTGGGATTCTTCAAAATGAACTCTAGGCAAGACAGTTTACCGTTGGCAGAGGTGTCTACGAAGTGGGGGGACTTTCCCTAGCATGTCTTTTAAAGCTACAGTAACGCTCCTCGCTCTTCTTGGCTGTGCCCTTCGGGATGCATTTTCAAGTCGGCCTGTCCACCCCATTGAGACTTTGATTGCAAGAGTATTTAACTTACAGGTGCATCTGAAGAATGCTGGCAGCAAAGGGGACATGGTGGTACCATTTAGGCCAGTAATTGGTTTGAAAATATAACAAAGTTGTGTAAGACTAATCCGGTTTCTAATTTATTCCCTTTATTTGGGGAAACAGATCTCATTCATAGCAACCATGAAGACTATGTTGCATAATCAACTAACACCGTGAAGGAGGAAGAAAAAGAATTTTAGACCATCATATCATTTGCAAATAAGAGTTCAGCAAAATTGCCAAGTGCAAATTCAATATTTAAAAATCAGTTGAATTCCTAGACATCAGCAATGGAAATAGCTCTAAGAAGCATGCTTCTATCATCTTGTCAACATTTTAATAGAAGTCCTAACCAATGAAATATGAAATTAAAAATAAAAATGGTCATCCTTATATTTTCTATGTAAAAAAGATTAGTGCTTACAAGAAATCAGTATTGAAAGAGACAAAAGTTTTCTTAAGAGTTTCACCATTTTATTTAAGCATCACTTCTGGCATAGGTTTTAGAAAGGTAGATTTTGTCACTTTAAGGCAATTTCTTTGCATCCATAAGCTGCTTAGATTTTCTTCATAACTACATTTATTAAATATATAACATATTGAGTTACTTTTTAAAACTAATGTAGCATATTACTTGAACAGATTTCTCATGTTAAATCTCATACGCTGGGACAAACCTTTGCAATCAACTGTTTATATGTATATACTAGGGAGTTTACATATCTAATATTAGAATTTTTATGTAAGTGGCATTGCTCTAACGTTCTCTTTATTCTTGATATAATTTTATTATCAAGATACACTACTCCCATAGAATGGGTTGGGTCACTTTGTTTCTTCATTTGCTGCCACTTGTCTCAGAAAACAGAGCTCCGCTGGTCCTGACATGTTAAGCCACCTCACCAGTAAAATGGTGTTGGACTTGCCTCTTCAGCAGAGGAGGAGAAGCATGGGTGGGGGAGGAGGAAGCTGGAAAGTCTCAAATACCGATTTGATGTCTCAGATTATATTTTTTTCAGGTTTTTAAAAATTTACGTCAGTTGTGCTACTTCATCTAGTGCTACTTCATCTATTCTGTTCAACTCCATAGCCCTAGAAAAATATAGTCAGGTCCTTGTGATGTTTACATGCAAGTAGGATGATGCAAATGATGTTATTTTGTGGGACACACAAATCCATTTGCCCGTGTGCATAGGTAACCTCCCAAGTCCCTTGAATGAGTCAATCAACAGAGGTGGCAGGGTGATCGCTTTAGTAGGGGTGACTCATAAGGTTCTAAACAGAAGATTTCACTCAGTTTGTGAGTATAGCTCACAAACTATACTATAGCTAGAAAACTAAAAGCGCAGTTTTCTCCCAGCCAGGCAGGAAGACGTGCCTCCGTGTGGATCAAGGACAGGCCTAGAAAGCAGATGGTGCTTGTCAGAGGATGAACCTTGACCGCCCCAGCTGCTGGCGCCATGGCAGGCCCTCGGGTGTTCCTCAGGGCCCTGGCCATGCGTTCTTCGCAGCCCCGCTGCCCGATATTGCCTGGTCCAGGCTGCACTGGGCGTGTGCTCACCTGCGGGCGCCTCAGGGCCCAGATAAAAAGCCCATCAGACAAAGAGCTGTCCAACAGCCACGCTGAGCCCCTACGAGTCAGAATAATCTGCTAACGAAACTCAGATTTGTAGTGGCTTAGGCTCAGTGACAAGTCCTCGTGGGCCAGCCACTGAGGGCTGGGCCGCGCACGTTCCTGCTAACCTTACTTTGGGCGCCACATGGCGGATGGCAGAGTACAAACCAGAAAAGAAGCCTGGAGGAGGGAGGGCTGACTCTCGGCGGCCTCAGCTAGGAGGTGACACATGCCATGCTCCCAATGGTCCATTGGCGGGAATTAGTTGAACGGCTCCAACTGCAGCAGAGATTAGGAGATGTAGGGAAAGCACATGGACTATGTGGGAATCAACACTTTGCCAAAATAAATGTATGACTTTGAGCAAGTACCTCGCCTTCCGTGCGCCCCAGTGCTCGGAGGGTTCGCCTCCGTTTAACAGCATCCGCATCACCGGGTATTTTGTAGGAACTACACAATCTCTGGTCCGGTTGCTCCCCGGGGGTGACATGTACATAGGAGAGCTTGGGAAGCACTGGCTAAACCACGACTTCATCAATCCCTTCCTCTGCCCAATTGTTTCCTTTCTCAGAACACCTGCTCCGATTCTCTCCCCACCCCACCCCCACCCCGAGGTGAGGGATTAGACGTTGCCA